AGGTCAACTTGCACCGCGAACTTGATCTGTGAATTTTAGCTAAAAATGACGAAATGTGCGGTAAATGAGTGTAGAAATACGTCAGACAAATATAAAATAAATACTAACATCACATTCCACAAGGAAGTAATGCGTTTCAACTTGTATTTTTATATAAATATTCACTAAAACCGAAAATTAACCTACTACTAAAACTAGCTTACATGAATTTGATTTTTGCCTCACTTGTGACAGTTCGTTTGATATGAAACTATCATTCTATGCGTTATTATTCTAAGTAAATATCTATGTAATGTACTAGCGTTATGTATGAAATAAAAGAAAATGACCATGGTTATTTTTTTTCCAATATGAAATATTACATAGGAAATGTAAATAGGAAATGCACTTGGTGTATTTGTTAGAAAGGGAATTAAAAGTTACAAAGGGTCTAGAAAAGATGTTGCTCATTTCTAAACATTTTGCTGTTTTCTTCCGCCATTTTGTCCATGTAAAGCGAAAAGTCATAAACAAACGAGTGTCACTAATTTTGAAAAAAGAAAAAAACAAGGAAAGCGTCACGATAACAGCCAGTATTATTTTTGAATTGGATTTTAACCTTAAAATAATAAGAGATTACTTTTCAGCCGCCGCTCGTTACTTACATGATATACAAGAAAAATATGTCCTATGTTTGTGCTTTCTTACCCTCTGTTTAAAGCTGTACACCTCCTCAAAATCGTAAGTGTTGTCAGATTTCAGATCCACTTCAAACAGACGAGGTTCGACTCCGACACGTTTGCCAATACGCTCCCGCCACTGCTCAGCAGATTGTACTTGAGTTTTGTCTCCATCTGAAGAAAATGAAAACCGCTACATAATATTGACGTGAGTATACGTACTATTGAAAGGTATAATTGAGAACTACATGCCATATGGTGCGTTGGAATGGCTTACGTACGCATCGGACAAGGGGCCAGGAGACGAAGCGGGGAGGGGTATTGTAGTCCGTAAGGGCGCGTTCCCATTATGTCGTGACGACAGATAGTCGTGCAGTTTAAAGTGTCGTAGATGTATATTTAAATGAAGTTGTTCACACACAGAGAACAACACGATTAACTATCGTTCACGCCTTTTTTGACGTTACGACGACTGTCGTGACAATGGGAAGAGCTAGCACGACAGTCATCCGACGATAAATAAAAAGTCACTATAAAAATGTGACGACAAATAATCGCAGCCTCAAACGATTCTGTCGGCTGCCGTGAACCGATAAATTGTCGTCACGATCTAGTAAGAACAGCTAGACGCGACTGTCGTCCAATAATAAATAAAACGTTGCGACATAATAGGAACGCGCCCTGAGTAAGCGACGTTACGTGGCGACACCGCATTAGCGCTGCGCGATAGCGATGATTTCGATATTGGACTCGTTAGTAACTTACTAATTTTCGTATTCGAATGACCTGAATGATCATTCATTACTAATCCATAGATTCCATAGACTACAGCGATACATGCACCTAACCCTCTCTGACATATAATAAATGCTGTAAATCTGACTGGGACAGGTTGTTCTGATATGGATATGGTGAATGATCTGGAGTTCCGACATAATAATCATTCGACTCGTAGCGAAGTATTCGATAGAAAACCGACATCATCGCATCATCTGTGTCGATTGAAACTTAGACGTAAGTAGTTATTTGTAATTATAAGGCTATTCAAATTTGTAGTGGTTAGCTATTGAACCCAAAATTGCACACATTCGTGCATTAAGATGCTTTTCCACAGGCAAGGTAAGACGAGACGAGGATTAAAATGTGCTGAGCTCGCGCGAGAAATCGTGTTTCCGTTGCAGATTATAATTATTTATTTTTATAATACCATGACGGGACGAACAAGTCACATGCCTAAGCGTAAGCGATACGCCTGTCTATAGCAGTTGTAATGCTACTTAGAGTTTTAAATAACAAAGATATGAGGGGCACTGCCACTGCGCCCGTCATTTGAGACATAAGTTGACAGCCTCATGTGCCTGTAATTTCACCAGTACCCTTACCCTTCAAAACCGGAACACAGTAATGGTGACTTTACTGCTCAGCGGCAGAAATAGGTAAGGTGGCAGTAGTGCCCTGGACAAACGCTTTCACAAAGAGCTCTACTGCTACTAATAGTCTATATAGGTAGCAATACGGTTCAATTATACATCAACAAATATTTCTATTCTCGCCTTGCCCATCCTCGTCAATCCAGATCTTTTCCACCGAAGATGCGCTAGGAGATTTTGCAATACAAATTTCAATTCTCGTCTCGCCTCGACTCGCCTCGCCGGTGGAAGAGCACCTCCAGTCCGTCAGTCGCCACAATTTAATACCTATTGCATGTTATATACTTAAACATACTCAGATTGTTCCAGAAGTCAACGGGTTCCTCATTCTGTCTGACGACTTCATATTCTGTATTAGCACCGAGAATTTTATGGACGAATTCAATTGCTTCTTGGCGTTCCACCTCGCTTGAACCCTGAAAAAAAAATCAAATTATAAGAAACATTCATTAATTACCAAACCAGTTTTACAGCCGAATCTTTGTCAATCATGCAGAATGTGTGAAGAGATTTATGCTTGTAAAACTAGGTCCATATTTTGTGACATTTCAACGCACCGGGACTCCGTGATTGTAAGGGCGCGTTCCCACTATGTCGTCACGTTGTATTATCGTTGGACGACTGTCGTGTCTAACCTGTTCCCATATCACGACTATATGTCGTGGACGATTTTTTATCGTTGAACGATTGTCGTGACTAGCTGTTCCCACTAGATCGTGGCGACAATTTATCATTTCACGACAGCCTCCGTGCCCACCTCTGGCTACGACCCAACGCTACTGCAAAGCGAGCAGAGGGCGCGGGGTATGCGAGGAGAAGTCAGGGAGCAGAATACGTGCGGACAGCGATAAATAAAACGTGACGACAATAGGAGCTGCGACAATCTGTCGTCACGTTTTTATCGTGACGTTTTTTTATCGTCTGACGACTGTCGTTCTAGCTGTTCCCACTGTGACGACAGTTTGTCGTTGTAACGATAAAAAATCGTGGACGACAGTTAATCGTGTCGTGCTATATGTGAACAACTTTCATTTAAATATACAAGCCACGACACTGTAAACTGCACGACAATCTGTCACGACATAGTGGGAACGCGCCCTAACTGATACGTGTGACAAAAATATACGTATGGACCGTTTTTGTCACGCCAAAGCCGTGGTAGTCTAGCAGTTTAACCTACCGTCTCTGAAGCATAGGCCGTGGTTCCGGTGAACACTCGTAAGGCGTCCTCTGTTGCATGAGTCCGCATTTTAGAGAGAGCTCTGTATGTAATCTTTATTACTCTTACCTGGCCATACCACAAGTAGACTTTCTCAGGAGTTTCCAAAAGGAAGACATCGTCAGATTGAAGGCTCGAAACTTCTTCAGGCACTTGATCCGCTCTTAAGTCCACACCGGCTTCTGTGCCATAGATCTGTGAAATACATGTTACTATTAAAGACAAAGTTCGGATTGAGGAGATTCGCCAATAATTTTAATAGTGTGGTTGACAAGGTTTAAAGAAAAACTTCCACCACGTGACATCATTGGCCTTCAGGAGCAACTACCACCAGGATGCAACTGCTGTGATCTTTGAGGAAGTCGCTAAATCGACTTCATATTCAGGTAGGTTGTTACAGACAGAGAATTGTAAATAGGAATTCAGATATTCCAGTCTAACTGTAGTGCAAGTTTAACACAGTGCCTGGAGCATTTGCAGGCGTATGACGGCTGGATGACCAGCGAACTGACTGGCCACAAATGCAAACTCACTAGAACACAGACATAATAATATATCCAAATAGACGCCGCAAGTGTACCTACTTCGCGTTTCAAAGCAGCTACAGATAGTGCAATTCAGGTGATAACATATTATTCAGGGTCAATTTAGTCTGTAAACACAAAGTGCCCTGGAGACGATGCACTACTTCGTACCGGACGAGGTCGACCTAGGCTTTTGGGGTTGGGAAGCTGGGGATTTATTTAAATAGTTGGGTCACCGACTTAGATTTAGGGGCTACGATCACCGCTCTAGGTCGTGGTTGGCTCAGCAGGTGTCCCTTGCCGTCCAGGGATGGAATGCTGCAAGATTATGGAAATTTTTGAGCCAGACCAGATACAGGGCGAGATTTTATTTAGGTTGCAAATCCAAATTTCTGTATTTTAGTACATATTAACGAAATTTATAATTTTAAAAGAAAAGAAGCTTAGAACAGTTAGTAGGTCGAAGAGACAGATCACATAGCTCGCAGAACCGATCACCGTTCGAAAAGCTTTCAAGTGGCTATTATGAGTTTTGGAAAATGTATACTATATCCTACTTGCCCCACTGACGATAGAAGTACATTAATGAGTCGTAGGATACATAATAACACAATCAAGTATTGCACGGTCTATCTTTTCAATTCGTCACAAGGTCGTTGCCTTCTTGTCGTCTTTTGTACACAAGAAAGTAAGTCTAATTTTGAATTTCTGTCCGTCTAGTGAGTCTTTGTGGACAGTCCGCTGGTCATCTATGGAGGCTAGACGCCACAAGCATTTTGCTGGAGGTCAATATCTGTATATCGTTGGTAGTTATTTCTAGGTCGATCATAATGTAGTAACTATTTGCTTGCTACGTCTTTCAACTCCCAAGAATATGTTCGGAAGGAATAAAGATTGTTTTTTTGAGAACACATACTTTGAAAAGTCTGACTCCATCATTATCGTAGGTATCTTTCTGGTTAGTGTTTCTGAATCCAGAAGCTTTGCCCCCCGTCAGTGTTACCAGACGACCTGTGAACAATAATTATGAAGATGACGGACTTTCAGATATTCTAGGTCTGATTTAAACATAGCCGGAGTAGGTGTAAATTGGATTACAATACACAAAACACACCCGCAGTGGAATAGCTGTCGCGGGTCTTTTTCAGAGTGGCAGTGGGCGCGCATGAAAATCAAATGTACGTAGAAGCTCCTTGCGTTCACAGTGGCCGCGCGCGCCGGCGGGCGCCTGTGTCGTGGCGAGGATAGATCTATTGGATCGGTCCACCTGTACCTTTCACAGAGCTTGATCTAGCATCTAGCGTGAGTTTGCAATCGCGACGTGTGGATCTACCCGCGCCTGCACTCGGAATGAGCCCTTATAATTCGAGAATAACTTTAGTAGTAACTTTACGGAGAAGAATTGCGAATTAAAATTGCTTGGATAGCTAAACTTACCATTGAATATCTTCAGAAAATGTTTAGGCTCTTCACCTTGTGGTACTCTGACTAATTCAGCTTCACCGTTGAGCTGTGAAAAGGACAATATAATAATAATAATAATAATAATAATAATAACACACACACTCAACATAGCCCCGCACTAGGGAAACCCTGTGTCGCGGGTGCCATGGACACACATATAGACAACCACGAATTACACCCAAACTCACGAGAGAAACAAATGTAGGTCATACAAATATTTCTCCCGGCCCGGGAATCGAACCTGGGACCTCTGCGTGGCAGTCCGGCATGGTAACCGTTAGGCCACAGAGGCAGTTAAATATATGTGTTGAGAATTGAGATATTGTTATTCACGGAATTAGACAAACTTTCCCTGTTCTACTTTTATTTATTTATTTATTTCAAATGCAAGTCATAACAATACACGTTCCATTAGGTTAGTTATTATTGCTATGACACCCCGCAGGGGTATGGCACTTTGTTGCCACATTTTGGCTTACATTATTGTTCACACATTACAAAATATAATATAATAATAAAAACACAATTTAGATTAAAATAACAACAATTATCCATCATCAGCCTTTACATAATTTAACTAAAAACTACGCAAGTTTTTCAATATAAAATTCATTTAAGTTACAATAGCACTTGTCAATTAATAATAATTTTAATTCTTTAGTGAAATTTTTGTAATTTGTCTCACATCTTAGGTATTCGGGTAGTTTATTGTGAATCTTTATCGCATTATAATACGGACTATTCTGATATATGCTTAATGTACTTTGCGGAAGCCTTAATATATTCTTATATCTAGACGGTCTTATAGAAGTGGGTGCAGCACTAATGAATAGTTCACTATTTTTTCTAACAAATTTAGCCATTTGAAATATGTACATAGAAGGTAGGGTTAATATTTATAATTTTTTTAAATGTGGTCGACAAGAATCCATCTGTTTGATATTCGTGATGATACGTATATACTTTTTTGTAGAATAAAGAGATCATTCACTTGGGTACTGTTTCCCCATAATATCAAGCCGTCATTTGATCATGCAAACGCATATATATATATATAATAAAAAAACAATGAGTGTTTGCATGCTTGTCCGGCATTACCCGTGAAGGTGACACTTTTCAAGGCATTTTGCCAATGCTTCTATACGTGTAATCTGTGGGTCAACTTTACGCAGAAGACAATCAACGCCCTGCGCGTTCAGTACAACAACGTGTTCAGGGTTTTATTGGGTTTGCCACGGTACTGCAGCGCATCAGGCATGTTCGCGGATGCCCACACGGATGGTTTCCATGCCATCCTTAGAAAGAGAGCTGCCTCATTAATAAGTCGTATCCGTTGCGGCACGAATGAGATTCTGCGCGTTGTGGCTGGTATGCGCGTTGTGCCCGATCATGCTACATTGCATGAAACTGCATTTAGAACCATGCCGATGACTTATTTGATATTTAATTTAATTTGTTTAATTATTCTATGTTTTTAAGTTGCCTTTTGTTTATTATAATGTGTGTAAACTTATTGAATTAACTGTAAAATATGGACTGTAGTTGTCTGAATAAATGATTTTTTGATTTGATTATTGTATATTTGACCGCCTTATTGACAGTATTCGTGATATTGCTATCTCTGAGGTTCCGGGTACAATCCCCGGCTGGATTAGTGTGGAAAAAGTAGCTTTTCTATGTTGTCTCGAGTCTGGGTGTTTGTGGTCCCGTCGTTGTTTCCGATTTCCATGACATAAGTGTTCTAGTTATTTGCTTTGGTATCAAAGTAACATCTGTAATGTTGTCATCATCATGTCAGTAGAAACACGTCCTCTGCTGTACATAGGCCTCCCCTAAAATGGGGGTTTTGTCATAATCGCCTGCTTTACGTCGCTCTTCTTCTTTCCACAAATATGTCTACATCTGAGAGGTTTGGTTTCAAAATTGGCCAAATCCAAAAAAAATATTTTTCAAGCTAAATATTACGTCAGAATCACAACAATCAACTCTGTATTTTCGTGCTTCTGAAAACTAGCTAAATTCACGTAAAGTCTATGAAAAACGGCACAGAAATACGCTTTCGATTTCAAAATTGGTCAAATTCAAAGTCAGTAACTTTTCAATGTCACTCAAATGCTACCTTACGAACAAAATTGGAAAAATCTTATACTTCGTCCGAATTATCCAAAATGTACTTTGAACGGGGGCTGCCATATTCAAAAACCAGTTTTTGTCTGTTACTAAAAAAAGTAAAAAGTGTCTTTGGCTAATTTTGAAACGAAGCCATTCATCTGAAAAGGCGGTTCTTGTGCTAGATTTCCTTGAAAAAGGTTCGTCCAGGGAAATACTACCAACTTACCTATTTCTGCAGCGAAGCAGTAATGTAAGCATTGTAAAACTACGAGCACATGGGACTTGCAAACTTGTGTCTCAAGGTGACGGGTACAGTGGCAGAGCCCCTTAGATTTTTGCGATTTAAAACTGAAAGACATTGCAACTGTTACAGATTTGCGTGTCGCTTACCATCAGGCGCACGACTTGTTTGTCCCGTTGAAACCGACCAATTGTTTGCCAAAGGTTTGTTCATCTTTTTAAACGCATTCTAGAAAGAAACTTAGAAAAAATCCATTCACTTATTACTTATTGAATTTGTCAAATAGCTTGTCACGATTCAACCTTAAGACATCAACCTCTACATCGACCCCTCTTCGTTCCGTGAAATGTCAATTTCACCGCTTAATTATGATAAATGTGTTGTAAAGGTGGAACTTACAACATTTCATGGTCACGGCAGACACGGGTCTTCATCGTCAAAGATAATTTTAATAAAACTAATTTAATTTCTTTACCTTTCTGTCAACAACTACCGAGTAGATAGCAGCGGCAGCTTGCTCGTCTTGTGTTGAATCTTTGCCCTGAAAAACATTTTTTTGTACGTAAAAAAATTACGGAAAACATCGTTTGGTTGTGGAACACATTTATAAATGTTAAGTTAATTCGGTTCAAATTGCTTGGGTCGAGTGGCAGGGATATTCGTTTTATTTTAGAATAGAGTTTTTAGGAGTCGTGTTTTACACCATATACTAATCACTGTAGATCCTCAATTTTACTAATATTTTTTTCAAAGCGATTGATTCAACAATTTTACTGTTATGCTGCGTCAACCAAAGCCATTTGAGGTTGTATCTTAATACAAATAGATATTTAAACAAATAAACTACTAATCGAAGATTCTGGATTGCCATATCGTGCCCTTAAATGTCAATAGAAAGTACATACATACAGATAGTATATAGAGGTAGTGCGTCTCACGGGTATGGGCTACGGAAGCAATGTGCTATAAATATTAAAAATAGGATATTTTACTTTAAGGAGATATTATTTAATTTTTTAACGTAAGTAATACGATTCCATAGTAAGACAAGCATGATAACTCCTTACAAACCCCCGATTTGATACCCTACAACTGATCCACTGTCAATTTTAAATCTGAACTGATCCACTCTATATTTTGCAACTCCAATGTCCCCTCATTGTATTTGTAAAGTAAGTACAGTCAAGAGAAAAAGAAATTTTATAATCAAATATTTATTATTGAGCAATTCCTTGGGGATAGTGCAAATACGCGTAACTAGCATTTGATTATGAGGGTCCATTTCGGTAATTCTATCGCCAAATTAAATCCGCGTAAATGTTGTGGCAATCAAATCAGCGTGATTTATGGGAATCTGTTGTTATCAGTCCGTAGACAACATAAATTAATACTTACTGTGCAAAAATGAAAGTAGTAGCCATTGAAATAACAAAGTAATAACGTTAAATCCCTCTCCTGTCAAATTTGGTTTGGTGCAGATACGCGCTTTTTACCAATACTACATACGCGCATTTGCACTATATCCGACAAATTGTTATCAAATACATATTATATACATACATGCAATAAGATTTTTTGTAACAGGTCCACATCTAGCAAGTAACTTAAAATTATGTAATGAAAAGGTCATTGGGGTAAGCTTAAATTATCACATTGATCAAATAAACAGAGTTTTTAGGGCACAATGCCTTACATAATTAAGATGCATTGTTTTGGAATCGTTGCACTACATTATCACTTACAAAAAAAAGTCTGACTATTGGTAACCTATCACAAACTCCAATTTAAAAAAAAAAAAAATGTTTGTTCGGATTTTCATTACATCAATAATCTCAGTACAGAGTACTAAAAAAACCGACCTCAAAAGTACGTGGAATTACGTCTGTTTGCTAAGTTTTATTGAAATATCCCCTAAGTTCGCCACTATACAGGACTTGACACTGGAGATAATAAAAATCGGTTCTCACTACTCGAAAGTATATTGAGAGAAAAACGCCTTGAATTGGAGAAATAGCAAAATCAACCATTAAAATAATTGCTCCTAAATTAAAGTTAGGCGCTATTTATAAAAAATCAATCTTCATGCGTGCCACTCTTGGAGGTGAATGATTTTCTTCAAAAATGGGACCACTATGGAAGTACTCCCTTTCCAACAAAAAAAGAATCATGAAAATCGGTTCACAAATACCGGAGTTATCGCGTAACATACATACAAAAAAAAAGAACATACAGTCGAACTGAGAACCTCCTACTTTTTTGAAGTCGGTTAAAAACCGAATTATAAAGAAACAGTTGTTTTTTCAGGACATGTTGAATCTTTATCATGATTAGACAAAGACACGATTAGGTTAAGTTAAAAACATTTTCCTCTCAAAATTACTTTCGAGGTTATAAAAATTCTAGGAAACGTTATTTCTGGAGAATGTCATTTCTGATTACTGATAAGTAACCCTGACTATTACAACCAATGGAAAAAAATAGAAAAAATACAGATTGTATGTATTGTATGTAATTGTACTTACCAGCCAGAAGTAAATAATGTACTTCCTCCCATAAACCCCGTCATACTGGTAAGGGATCACGTAGGAGTCCCCTTGGAACATCTCTCCTTTGCGCTTTCCAGGTTCACTACCAGGGTTCGAGGAGTCGTAAATGAGAACTGGTTCTGTGTTTTCGATCCTTTAAAATAACATTGTTTAATAGCAGTAGAGCTCTTTATGAAAAAGTTTGTCCGGGAAGTCACAGCACAAATAAATACTGTAGAAATGCTTACTTTGCATGTCACGTAAGGCAACAGTTCGCGGAGTTCCATAAAGTTGAGGAGTGCAAAAATGATACTCGCATTTATATCACCATTAAGTCTTATTAAATTTTATTAATTTTTCAGTTTTCTGTTTATCGTAATCATTTTTTAGTTACAAGAAACGACATTAAACCTTATACCGCTGTAATATGATCGCTTCTTTTTGGAAAACTAAGTGAACATCTCAAATTCATCGTCGTTCACTCATTGACCGATAGATGGGAGCACATTGATTGAAATTTCAATTTAAAATCAAAACGTCGTAAGTTGCAATAATTGGGTATGGTATTGAACTTTTAATATGGTTTTAATAGAGTTTAAATTGTGTTAGTAATTCAGAATTTCTTATGTCTTTTTAAATTTGAAACTATGACCAATCCTTATTAAGATTTCACCAAGACGACACCTAATATCATTCAAAATGATACTTTCTAGAAGTTTAAATGT